AGCCAGGCTAGCTTTCGTAAGTCATGGACGGAATCACGCGTGGTTGGTACCAAATGAAAGATATTTTCCTGTAAATGTGCAGAATCCCTTTATAAATTAAAGTAGGCTCAAAAACAAGCACTAAAAATGAATTTTAAACTTAAAAAATTAACATGGGCCTTATGGGTTGCTATGATGGTGACGAAATAACAACAAAATATAAACAGAAAATCCAAACAAATTCCAATCACATTTTTTATTTACAGTGTGAGGTGAAAATAGAGAAGTCTGTACATTACATATTTTTGGTTGAATTTTCAACCACTAGACAAATTCTAATTTAATATATTAACTATTTAAACGGTCTCGTTTGAAGAAGGAACCGTCTGTGGAAGTTAGATTAATGTATCTGCAATACTTAAACGCTATGGGAAGGGGTGGAAACAGGTCCAGGACGTAGGAAGTGGTGAAGGAAGTAGTAAAGGCGAGCAGTGTGGAGTGTGGGAACCGTTTGTGGCAGTTAGGTTATTGTACCTGCAATACTTAAATGCTATGTGAAGGGAGGGAAACAGGTTCAGGACGGAGGTAGTGGTAAAGTCAAGCATTGTCAATAGAGAAGTTTGCACAATGCATACTTTTGGTTGAGTTATCAACCACGGGCCAGCTCTAGTTATACATTATAACATAGTCTTTTAAATATTTTGACAAAAATGTATTACCTCCAACCATAAGTTGTTACCTAAACTGTACTAATATTTCTCAGGATGCTGCAGAAGAAGGGTCAGATGGTGTTAATAAGATTATTAGTAAGTATTTACAAAGATATTTATACTCTGTCAACATCTGTGATTATGTTTCATTCTGTGTCTTCGTCTTTATTTCTATGTTAATGTTTTCATATCGAATGGCCCACACCATGGTCTTGGTACCGTTTTTATCTTATTATTTTGTTAGATAGCATCATTAATGGATAACAAAATGACGTATGGCATTCAAGGGTTTGGAAGCTTAGAATCAAACAAGCGACCTTAATATATGATGCTAAACATTTTGTAACCCGGCTGCCCAGGCAATATTGCAAGGTTAAATGGTATACATCATTACAAGGAGCTTCATCATTTCTTGGCCCTCGAAACTTTCTTCAAGTTTCTTGCGATACAAACATATTTCCTGTGTCTCTTAAAACATCTTAAGTATTCAAACTATTCCAAACTATTCAGAGTACTCCAATCGATAAAACAATTGAAACCTTTTCTTAATAGTCTGATTACATTAAATAGAATTTTACAAGAATAATATACAGGACTATAGGGCTTAGACAGACCGACCAGTGCAGATTCTGCCTCTCCTAAGCAGAATCCGCTGAGCAGATATGGCTGGAATGTCCGGTGATAGCCCAGAAGAGGAATACCTAGGAAAGATATTCCCGATGCCTACTGAAATACAAGAAATGTGTGTAGACCAGCTGATTATGGCTTCGCAAGAAGACTTCGGATGGGGGATTAAGCTATAAGGATGCTACAAAAGATCTTGCTGGTCGAGGTAGCAAGGGGTAATGCTACCCCAGCCCCATGAAGGAAAAAAATATACAGCTGATGTCCTCAATTTCAGCGGATTTTCTTTTCACCCCAGGAAGGAAAGGATATACTTTAAAATCAAATGCCCCCGCCGCAGCAAACCTTCCGAGTAAGCGAATTTCCATTTGCCTGAATTGGTTTTCAATTAAATTTATTTAATAAACATTAGGCTTTATGAGTACCTAGACTTGCCGTTACAGGGAGGGTAAATACCCCTGCTGCAGCAAACCTGAGGACTAAGCGAATTTCCATTTTCCTGGATTGATTTTCAATTAATCTATTAAATTAACATTTATGTTTAACGAGTACCTAGGTTAGCTGCTGCAGGGAAACTAATAAAGTGTGTTTTTATTAAAATATCAAAAGCTTATTATGAAATATATAAATCCCCCAAGTTTTATCAAAATACGAGATAACTACAACATAAACAACACCATAAACAAGCCAACTACATTTTACAATATTCTCCATAAGAATAACATGGGAATTTTAAAGTAACGATATTTTGAATTTTCTCCATAAACAATCACCGTACAAAAACATTTTGATGTACTAAATCATTAGTTTTTTTAAGTTCTTTAAGAAGGTCTGGAGAAAAATTGATAAATCTTGTGTTTTAAGGGTAAAAAATTAGAAAAACCCATTTTTACCCCATAAAACCCACCGTTAAACCCCGTTCCCATGGTCCGATCATGCTGGTTCGCGAACTCATTCAAGTTTATCCTGCCTTACACCTTCAAACCAAATTTTATCAAAATCGGACAAAAAATACTCAAGTTATCGTCTGGACGGACACATATATACAAATTTGAACGAATGATGTTTTTTTTTATCATGTGGACCAAATGCAAATTGAACAGTATCAAGTCGTAGACAAGTTTATTCTAGACTCTTGTCCAACCGAAGATGTGGGGATATACATCACTGAGTTGCCAGGAAGAGATCAAACGCGATCGAGTCACCAACAACTTTATAATTTTGTTTAGAGAAAAAAATGGAAAGTGTTTCTGTAGGAGAGTCAAACAGTTTACCTTTAAGCAGTCAAAGAAAATTGTTACCACTTCCAGAACACCTCCTAGGGAAGTCAGGTGTCGGGATGATGGAGGGCTACAATCACGGCCACAGCAACATTGGTATGACTGTATATTTAACCGAGGCAAAACGACCAAACTGCCATGTTAAATAAATTATCTTAACTGATTTCCTAGTTGATTATTTTCACCAACACATCTCATAATGGACCTTCCTTGACAGTTGAATCACAAAGTACCTCAGACACAAATACCTGAAAACCTAACCAATCAAGGAAGTCAAAGGTGGTGAAGCCTGTGGGTAACAGCAAACAGCTAGTTGTAAATTAATGTGCATTTGACAGTTCTGCTAGTTTACATTGAAATGCCATAATAAATATAAACATTGTGAGTGTTCTCCATATTTGGGGAAAACGACAACTACTAAATTTAAAGTGATTTGTTTAAACTGTGTGTTAATTACAACATTTTTATGTAAACAAAATATAATAAATCAAAGTAGAAATTGTGTTATTAAAAGACAGAAACAGACAGAATGTTTGCTTCTTATTTTACAAGAATATTACTTTGACATTAATTTGCCACTGAGAAACATTGAGTCAAAAAGCACTCAACAACTTCTTAACAAGTTTAGAGACTAACAAGTGTATCCATAGTCATCTAAAGTAAATATTCTTTTCTCTTCTCCTCCATTTTCTACTTCTCATTAAATCTTTGAATACAGATGTTATTTATCTTTCTCTTTATTTACAAACTATTAATGAATGACATCTTTTAAGATTTTTGTTCATATATTTATAACTCATTTAAAAGATTCTCTAGTCATCTTGGTTTATAACTAATGGGTCAGATTACCTTTCTGATTCTATCAGATCTGATAATAAAGTTTGAGTCAGTTAAAAAAAAAAACAATGTATGTTACCCTAATTTTCATTCATGAAATGTAGTTTCATTGCCATCATAGATACAATAAAATGCAAGTTTGATATATCTAGACTGTAAACATTTAGGAGACGACAGTAAATATTGCAATGGTAATAACGTTTGATCAGACCCATTCCCAATGTCCCAATGGCAGACTTGCCTGTCTTTAAAATATGAGAGTATTTACTGTCCTGTAAATGTAGGGCATAGATATATCAAAAGGGTTGAAAGACGTATTCAATTTTGATCGATCATACTCGTAATAAAATACACAAAAGTCGTGTCATCAAACGTGATATAGGTAAGTAAACCATACAAAAATAAAATTTCTAAATCAACTTGACACATTCAACATTTGTGGCTGTCAAAGAACTGAATGCTTCCAAAATTATAACTTTTCCTACAGAATGTATTGAAAGCCAACTGTTCTCGGATCAAACTTGTAATCAAGTTGGGAAGCAATCACGTGTCATGTTAACTCAGGCAAGGAACTTGGTTCTACCTACACCAGCCCTTAGTTAAATGACAATGTGTTTAGACTAGAAATAACTTGTTGGATGTTCACTGATACAGTCAGCTATAAGATTGTACTTGGATATAGATTGTGAGACTTCTTGAAACTGTGTTTACTAGTATTGTGATCATTCAGGAACTTGAGATAAAGATAATACAAAGTGCAAGAGGATGCTCAGCTTACTTGGATGGAGAAGAGTCCAAACAGGCTCAAGAAACACTAAACTTTATTTTTGGATACTAAAGTATACATTCCATCTTAATGGGCACAGCTTTTGATATTTTTTATTTTAAAAACACTTAGTTCGGTGAGCCAGTCAGGGATTGCAACAGTGTCTAAAATTATATTTTAAACCTTATTTTTTGTCACTGAGACAGTTGAAGTGACATAAAATATTATACTGCAGCTTGTTGTCCTATCATGACTTGGTTAAAGATTGTGTTTTTTGTTAAAAAAAAAACCAGTCATGTACATCAGCGCAATCTGTTGGTGACTCACTTCAACTACGCCCATTTTAATAAAAAAACTGGTGACAGCTTGAATATTGCGGATAGAATGTCTAGCTCTATCAATAGTCAAATATGAAACATGAGAATATTGTCATTGACAGAATTTTCAAATAAGAGAGTTTTCTTCTGAGGATAAAAGAATCGGTTTAAAATGCTGTCAGTGACAGTGAAGTGTTCTAATGGTTTTTTTTTATTGAATAAAGTTTTGTGTTTCTACGGCCAGTTTAGATTCTTTTCCATTCAAGTATTTTATTTTGGTAACCAAAAGAGTTTGATTCAGCATATGAGTACCATGGAATCTTGATGTTATTAATTTATTTCAGTATTCGAATTCGACTCACTTATATGTACATTTATTTCCTCAGATTGAACTTAAAAGACTGTGTTGCAATATCAAAATTGTCGTAATAATTGATATCAACCATCTCAAAATTACCAGACAGGTTATGAAAATAAGCCTCGACCAACATAGTTTATCCTTCAGCAAATTAAATATTGTAAAAGTGTAACTTAAGAAATTTGTATATATTTTAAGGCAGAATCACAACCCTTCCAAACTATATAATAGTGGATACCGGGAAATACATATATTTAACAAAAATGATACTTTGTACTTTTATTTGATTGTAAAAACATAAATGCTGTACATCCTAATCTATTATCATTACAAAGATTAACAATAACAACTAAAACAATATATTATATCCCTACTTAAGTAAGCTAACCTACAGCAACGTTTGTTCAAAATATTATTAACTTTACAAAGAATTGTGACAGGGTCAAACAATTATGGTAAAAAAACAATTTCTAATGTCATGATTTTTCGGTGAGGCTCTTTGTGATGCTTAAAACTAAAATTTATTGAGCAAATTAGAAGGAAAGACCAGAAAAGTAAAAATTGTCATAAAATTTTTTACAGCTATGCCATTACATTTGTCAAAATATGTTCATTTGGATTGATGATAGTATTTATACAACAATATAACTTTACAATCAATAATGGAGGAGTATGGTCAAAAATGAAATTGGATACTAAACTAGCAATATGTCAGTATATGCAAATTTTTTACACTTAAAACTTCTACATTGACAATCTAGAATGCTCTTTTTTACCAAACTTCAGATTTGTTTTTGGAACTTATGTATTGAAATGCACTCGGGTTAATGAACTGGTCTAAGTAAATTACTTTAGTAGGTTTACACCTAAAAAAAACAGTATGGTGTCAGTTTTAATATTTCTCCACCGGGAAAGTAAAAGCTACCTTAAGATTTGTGTTAAACGATTGCGATTTTTATCTAATGTTTTTTTAGTTTTTCAAAACACATAAATATTAAAGTTTAACAATAATCAAATGCCATTAAAACCGGTGCATGATAATATTATGCATAATACCATGCATAGTAATATAATGTAAATGCGTATCATTTAATTAATTTGCTTATTATTGTTTTTATGAACACTATAATGAAAGAATTTAAAAAAGTAAGCAAAAGCAAGTTTACATAATATTTTACACATATTTTGCATTTCTAAAATACAACTCTCGTACAACTATATTCTTAAAAGAGAGACTGTTTCAGATCCTAAACTATAAAATCATTATGATTTTTATCAGGTACTAAATAAAACTAAAATAAAATACTATATTGTATTTCCAGATTCCTGTTATTGTTTGTACTTAAAATAATCACCGTTTAATCTTATGAGTAATTATTAATTATAATTTCTTCATTATGAATAATCACTTTAATTATCCATCTAATTCAATACTTTGATTTGAGGTAGATCATTATTTCTAATTATTATGTAATTTTAACTTAATTGCCTACTTGTTGGTCTACTTCCTTTTAAGGTGGCCTATGCTATTTCTTAATTAAATATTATGTAGAAAGTTAAATTATTATGTAGAAAGTTTAAATTTTAACCAAATATTCCCCGTACAATATTAAGTAAAACCGTGTGTTGTGATTTGTAAAGTTTGCATCAGTGAATACTCAAAGGAGTTTTAAAGCAAATATAAAAGTTGCATAACTTATTTGTTAGTATAAAAATATATGTACAGAATAAATTATAATCTATACAAAATTGTAAAGTAACAAAATATTAAATAAAATTAAATAAACAAACAAAAAGTGAAGTGTTACACGTCTAAGTTATAGTGAAGGTGCAATGAGCTTAACCAGGAACAAAAATTATCTAGATTTGATCATTTTGATTCAATGTGATGCCAATCAGTCACAAGACATTTGAGATGATTCTTAACTAATAATTAAATGTGAACAAAATGTACAGTGATGCAGTTGTTACAAAACTAATTTTCTAAGTTTCATCAAGGCTTCTTCAGCATTTCACAGACTTTTTGAACATATGATTTTAAAACTGCTCCTAATCAAATAAATGTGACAGATCTATATTTGTATTACTATAATATATATAGATGTAAATCAACCGGTAAAATATAACGGCCTTCAGAACCAACGAGAGCATGATCTAAAAATTGTAATTATAAATTATGATATTAATTTCAAACAAAATATCATCCTTACGACAATCACGTCTAATTTAGAATATAAATAGATCAACAGCCTAAAATTTATTTTGATGGTCAATTGTTTGAATGATACTGTTTCAAAGACAGATTATGAAAGTCGAAACATTTTTACTTTTCACAAAAGTGATTTGACTTTTCTGCCAGCTTATTACAATAATACCCTGTGATTCCAGTCATTTCTGACTTTTCCCGACAAAAAATAATTAAATATCAACTTTATATCAGTCGACTTGCTACTTTTTTATGACATTTAACGATTTAGTTCAATGACATTTTAGCCATTCACACTTTTATGTTTCTGAAGGCCGCACAAAGCAAGGACAACAGACTTAGTCTAATATTGTCACCGGTACAGTTGTACTGTTACTGTTGTTGTTTGTTGTGTTGTGGCGGAAACTATAGACTGAGCGATCGAGGTTTGAATCTAGTCTGGGCCAAGATCTGGTGCGCTTGCTCCGTCAAATCCAACTGATCTCGAGTCTTCCCGTAAGCAACCATCTCCCACTTCACAGCCAACTGTGAATGAAAATGTTGTTAATCATTAAACAATGGAAAACACAAGGAAACAGCAATATCCAAAATAGAAGATGTCACAGAACTAAACCTACACTAGTAAATAGTTAATGCTGAGCTTCCGTGGAAAGTTATAGTAAAATGGTTTACTTGCAAATCATAACTCTAGCAAACAAAAGATGTTTTACAAATTAAACCGGTTTGCAACAAAACAATTTATATCTTATTCAGGAATTTTTTTTTTTAAGGTTTTCATAAACGTGATTACAAAAAGTATGGTGAAACAGATTAAATAATATCACAGATTAAGGATGGATAGTTTTTTGACTGTTGGCGAATTTAAATGCTAGTAATCCAAAACATCTTATCTAGGCAAGTTATCAGTCAACCTCCTAGATTAAAGTAGGAAAATAATTCCAATAACTTGAAAGCAAATAATTTTCTAGTTTTTTTTCAGTTTTTTGTATAATAATGAAAATGTTAACCAATTAAACAACAGCTAAATTACAACCTAAAAATGATGGAATGCTTTCAAATACTGAATGTGTTCTCCTCAATCTCCTAACTATATAAACTTAGCTCTCCTTAATAAAAGAGTTTTCCCATGGTTTTACACTCTTGGGAATGTTTTTAAATTAATCCCAATTATACAAAAATTTACACATATCCACTAATAATTCCAAATTTTCACACTATAATTTCACACCCTTCAGCAAAGTTTATGTTGATCCATTATTAATCAATTCCACACTTTCATTTTATTCTTTTACATTATAACCTAATAATTTTATATTTCAACACATAACTTCCCACTCTTCAGCATAAAAATGCCATGGAGGGAAAGTAATTTTATCGTTTCACTATTCAATTTCACACTTTCATCTCAAACTTTTTATATTTTTTAACCCAATAATGTTACATTTTACACACAAATTCACTTTCGCCCTCTTATTTCCCACATTCACCAGACAACTTTCCCAATGATCCCAAAATTTCACCTCACAATTTTACCACATAACTTCACAATATCCCAAACGTTTCCCCCTTTCACCCCATAATTTGGCACTTTCACCACACAATTTCCCACATACACCACATTATTTCCAACATTCACCCCATAATTTCCTACTGCTACCCCATAATTTCTGGCATACCTTGGAGATGCGGCGTGGGGGTGCGGGTGGGACGTCCGCCAGTAGTCGTTTGCAGACCGGGTGTTTGACAGCGACGGTGCGTTCAGGAGTCGAACTCTGGATAAACACAAGGGCTACAGTCCCTTACTACCACCTAGCTACGTCAGTCAGACTGTGTTGGGAGGTAGAAGGTTGGGCGGAGTAAGAAGTAGAAAGTAGAAGTAGACATAAGCTTACAGGTAAACACTAAGTTTCTACTCAAACATGAATTACTTTGAGCAGTTCAACTCATGTGTGAGGATTGTTATTTATTTAAGAGGTTGGAGTTCTGTTTTAACCTTGTATTTCTGCCTAAACGACCTGTTGGTGGAAAATATCACGTAAGGGGTGGACGGGTAGAGTAAAAGAATGATCTACTGATAAAGTTTGTAACTGCCTCAGGTTATGAACCCACGACATTGCTGAAATATATTTGTAGTCTAACAGCTACCAACTGAGCCACGGACACATTCATTGTAGGCCTACTTGGTTCAAATATGAATTTATGGAACTAGGTCCTAAATCACAAGAACGACCTGTACTGAAAAAGTTTCAATTGCACCGGGATACAGACCTAAGACGACTACTTCGATTTTACAGTCCTAGGTCTTCAGCTGAGCCGCAAACTATACTTACTTTTCGTAAACTTTTTATGTTTTAAAGTGTAGGTAAACAAAATGTAGGTAAAATATAAAACAATAATATTTTTTAATCAGTTAAGTGATTGAGTACAAGTCTAAAACATAAGCAACCTACTCAATTTGTTCCTTAACACACGTTTGAATGTGGTTTAGCATAGTGTACCATTATCAAAAAAATTTTGCTACCCGTGATATACCAACATCTTTAATATCTGAGTACACCTACCAGATTACCTAAACCACAGGTTCAGGGATCAAAATGTAATTACTTCATAAAATAATATCCTCTCTAAGATATGGGGACAGTAGGCCTAACAGTTTTACCACCCAACCTTTTACAAACTTAACCACAATCTGACTGAACTTGCTACCAAAACTACACTAGCAAGCTACCGAGTGTGAAAACTTCACAAAATTATTCACTAGCAGCACTTACAACAAAAACTAGCCTATTTAAATTTTTTATGAAGATTGTCACACTCTTAATGACAGAAATCCACTGAACATGTCACACAAGTGTGATAAAACAGAGGATTTCTTCCACACTGTTGTTTTCATGTTATCTACAGCACACACATACTTACCAAATCTACTTCCTGTCTATAAAAAATCTAAACAGATTTTCTACAGATAATTAAGCTGCACAAAACTAGCAAAAGCATAGACAATCACATTGCTTAGGTTTTGCTCAAAGTCTAATTAAAATTTCATGTTTCAAGAGGCACTGTCTTTGTTGATTATATTTCATTGGTAGAGTATGATTTGGCTTGTAAAGCAATCTTTTCAACTCTTTGCAATAATTTAATTTTAAAATTATTTGTACGGCAGTGTTCTATGGGAAATGAAGTTTTTTAAGGTTTTAAAAATACTTAGAAAACTTACACGCAAAAAAGTTCAAATCTGCAAAAGATTACTGCTTACTTTTAACGATAAAAATGTAAAGGATTTTTTTTATATGTATTAAAGACAATAAATAAAATACACTACGTGAAAACTAAGTACAATAACTAAATTCAACTAAAGACTCAAAATTACAATAAAACTAAAAGTGGCAGAGAGCAAATATTTACTGATTCCTATTTCAATTGTAAAGATTACATTATTTTATGTGTTTATTATCAACCTCAAAGATTGGAGATTTGGAGGACAATATAACCAGTACTGTAAATAAGAGTTTGTATTATTATTAGATTATAAAGGCTACGTCAAAACTTTTATGATTGTAAATTATTTATAAACAAAAATATTTATTCACAAAAAATTAAAACTTAAAAACTACAAACCATAGAAACAGTAGGTGCAATTGTGCATAAAGGTGCATTGAGTACATTATGTGTTCAAAGCTAGAAACGTTTAACACAGTATTCACTTTTGGTGTCATATGTATAAATTATATCTTTCACAATGGAAAATATATAACCCTGAAAATGTTAAAATTATTAGTGGTTAGTAAGTCGAACATGATGAATAAATTATTCCTATCCTTGGTCTAAATGTAACAGTTCATCAAAATCAAGGTTACTCATTAGGACTTCTATTTTCTTGGATGATAAAAAATTTTTTTAAAAACTTTCAAATAAAGTTTACAAAAACTAAATATTAATAATTGCCAAATTTGAAGTAAATCTTTAGGTATGTAATTTTTTTTAACTGTATTATTTCGTCCAAAGAATCTGTGTATGAAAAGTGTTTCGTAAGTGCTTTCACCACTACAAACTAAAACACACGCAAAACATAAGTGCCACTATGGCTAAAGGTGCAAATCAAGTCTAAGCAGTAAAAGCTACTTTGCTAGGCAAACAATCGGCTTCGGACTCCATCTCTGACTATGAACTTACCCATTATATATCTGAAATTGATAAAATCAACTATCAAACCAATGTCCTAAACGTACATACAAGAAAACAAAAGCACACAACACTCTTAACAAGGCAAGTGCCAGTAAAGACTAAATCTTCTAACTTCCAGTACAGAATGGCAATGATGGAATTGGTTTATTTGACGATGAATTAGTTTTGACATAGGATTATAACAATACTAAAGAGAGCAAGCCGGTTTAAACAAGTTGTTTTGGGAGGGGGGTTTAGAGTATTCATTTACCCCTTGCTACTTTGGCCTATCGACCTATTGTAGCAAACAAAATTACTCAAATATTATACGATTTTAAATTAAGTTTCATGCACAGCTTTCTTAAAAAAACCCGTGGATTGCGTACTAAGAAATGTTATTGAAAGAATCAGTTAAGGGGTAGAAGGTAAAAGGAGAGTAACAAAATGATAAATGTAAAATTATAAGTGTATTTTTTTTTTTTTTTATATATAAACACGGCTTAGTTAGTCAGCGCACAACCAAAACAATAATTTAGCAGGACAAACCATTTCTAGATGTTTAACAGATACACAAATTTGTATAAACAATATTGTGGTAATTAATCAACAATTCCATCATGTCACAGTCTGTAAATTTAATCAACACAGGAGGAAATATTTTTAATAAGGTAGCCTACAGTAAATTAAAGAACTAAAAACTCATAAAAAATTAAATAAAAGAAAAAGTTAACACTTGGGTAGAATCATTATTTTAGCAAAATTAGTCAACGAAAAGAAATGATTCCTACAGTTGGTTGAGAACTTATTTTATACTGACAGTGATCGTTTAACTTCCAAATATCTAAATACCATACATATTTAATATTTTGACAATTCAAGACACATAAATTTCTATGTTCAGTCTTAATAAGTTATATTTTCAATAAATAAACATTAATCTAAATGACTGTTGGTATATCCAGTAATAATTGAGTCTTTTAAAATTCTAAGTTGACCAAATTCATTCTTTGCTTCTATGAATTAATGTCAGTCTCGAGAGTTATTTACCTTTGGTGGCGAGTTGAGCCTTAACTGATGAGTCGATTGAGTGAACGAATCATCTGTGTCGCACAAAACATCTCGGACTATAGAAGGCGGTGAAAACAAAACTGACGATTCACTTCCGGACAGGCACTTGCTCTGCAAAACAGCCAATAAAATGTTACTAAACCTATTTTGAACTAAAAGATATAGAAGGCTATCAATAATCCGGCACTTAGTCTGTCTCAAACTGTAACTAGTTACTTTGGCGGTTAACAGGTAAAAACTAGAATTTGATCTTTGTTACTACAGGAGTCTTAAGTCTCTCCAATTACATTTCTGCTCTGATTTTTCAGTCCATACAGTAAATATGGAAAACTTATCAATTAGTATAATACTATATAGTTTCAGACTATGAAATAAATAAATAAATAAAGGCCTTGTTAAATTTAAAAATATAGGTTTTATACAACAATAAACTGTTAGTAAACATCTACTAAATTAATTTACCACTAATGTTTGTCCTTTAATTAACTTTGAACTGTAAAAAATCCAGTCTTAACTGATTGATTAGTAGCCTAATGATCAAACAGGTTTTGTCGATTTACTTTTCTTAGATAATAGATTAAATTTGTGACGGCCTGGCATATTTGCCTCATTTTGTTGTAATTTGTTAACTTTGAGCTTAAGCTGATTGGCCTTACTCCCTAAACCTGGCCCGTTGGCTATCACCGAATATTTGCTAGGTTGATGTGTCAACCGTATTTAGCAATATTGAATTTTATTTAACTTCACATAAGTCTCCAAGTGAACCTTGCAACTCATACTCCAATTCATTTCATTACTTTGTAACCCTACAATGATCCTAACCAGACGTCGTGGCTTGGCCGGATATGGCTTGGAATGTGCTGATTCTGCATGCACGTGTGCCGCGATAAACAATGTTACACTTCTAGACTCGGTTCCTCGCTTCAGTTAGTTTTATTAATGACCATTGTAATCGTTTGGCTGCAGCACCTGTCAAGCAACTGTCCACGCGTTGAATTATGGGCTGAGCGCTCAGCATGCGCTGATTGGCTGACGATGGTCATGTGACCCCGCTGAGGCTCTCGCTTGGACGATGCTGAAGCCGGTAGATCGCGCCGAGATGTAACGGACGACGGTAATAGTCCGCCGCGCGCGGTCTCGCGCCCCTTTCTTTTAGGTACTCTTACTCTTTACTTCCAAGTCCGTGTACGTTCTAAATCCGGTATTGAAATCATTTAATATTTTGTTAGTCGCGCTTACATAGTGTTAGTTGTCTTTTCTTGTATCATCGTGTTTGTAGTTATGTAAAGTCATTATTCATTATTCGATAATTAATAAATTTAGTTGATCCCTATTCGCTTGTTTTAATATTCGTTCTTCCTGCTCCCAACCGCTACGAAGACTAGAAGAGAGGCTGCTGTGACAAATTTACTATTTTTTCCATTAGGGCAACTGTTCTTTGCACAACAAGTGTCGGATTATCTAGAATCAATTTAATTTGGAGTTCAATAGTGGATTTACATAATAACACAGTGTAAAGAAGATTGTAAAGAAGCCAACTAAAAGTGTACATGATCAACTGAGCAGCTGCAAGAACATCATGGCACAGACCGAAATTGAAATTTTGTAGCTCGAAAAGAAACGGGAGAGGATTCTTTTTCTAGATAAAAAAGATTTTTTCACAAATTTTCAGTAAATATTTTTGCACGTTGCACTGTTAACAGTGGGTCAAATTTAGGAGAATCACATCCAATATATTCATTACAAAGCCGTAATTGCGGTGCCATCATTATTACCTGATAAAATCCGCAATATCAGTAAAATCAGGAACATCTCTTGTGATTGCAGTGAATTCATGAATATCTCCCGCTATTGCAAAAACAGCATCGTTGCAAAAAATCACATTGAAATTGCTGGCAGTTGAACAAAGCCTGTCCCAATAAAGTCCTAAATTAAATGTAACCCAATTCAATTGTTTCCCAAAGATTTCCTGAAAATTTGGAACTTGTGCATAACATACATCAACTGTAAACTTAAAAATTTGGTTGATATCACTTAAAAAATTTTGTTGTTTACTATAGTAATTAAGAGCTAGACTTTCTAGTAATTTTGGCTTATCACTCACCGGTGTCTCGCTGAAGGAAAGGTCAGTGACACTCATCAGCCCAGGGGTTGACCAAGACGGCGCAAGAGCTTTTCTCACCCTCTTGTGAGGGAAGGTGTTCTCCTTGCCGTACAGACCATTGTTCACAGGCTTCCTTTTCACCGTCATGTAGCCACTGTCATGCATCTCGCTCTAAAACACAACTCTGTGTAAATACCAGCAAAGACTTTTGATACAGAAGTTGACAACTCCAAACACAAAAAAATATTACCCCATATATTGGCTGCATATTTTAATCTCTCTGAACCACCTATAAAGAAACTAGCCTAATCTGCTTCAAGAACAAACTGGCAGACTAGCTGCTAGAGATAAATATAAATGATAAAACTACGTTCATCTATGATAAATAGGAGTGTACATTCAAGAACCACCAACATTGTTCAAATAGTAAAAGCTTAGCTCACCATGGCTTCTGACGTATCCATGTCGTATTGAGAATCAGACATGTCTTGTTCCTTCTTAATAATCTCCTGCAGGTCTTCTGCCAGCCTTGTTGGTGTTTGAGGCTGAAATGTAAGTATAAAAAGTGAGAATTGTTGTACATTGTGATTTAAATCTACAAGCCAAACCCTAGAAAACACATTAAAACTCATAGAAGGGATAAAATTAAGACACAAGGTTTTCAGGAACCAATTTTGGTTTCAAAAAAATGTCATGAAAGATTTAACCATTTAGCCTATTAATTCTTATTCATTGCCATTTTTTATTGCAACGAGTATAATACAGTGTTAAACGAACAGTGAAAGACTCATAAAACTTCATGCTACTGATTCATATTGTCATAAGCAATATGTCCAATTTACTCTGGATACTGCAAGTAGATATTCCACATATACGAGCCCCACCCAATTGGGAACTTAGAATTCTGATCTTAATCTGTTCCCGATCATATAATCTTTTTAAAAGTATTAATTAACGCAAAAAGAGTTATGCCATACTAAAGCTTTTTGATTACAGAACAGCCCCGCTGTCACCTAGAGGACCAAAACCTTGGCCTGAACAGTGAAAGGGTTAAATTATCCGAGAATCAGGATTTTGCACGATAGTGAGGGATTATTATATGTTTCTGTAACTACAGGAGATAATTATGGATTTGGTCGTCATCGCCGATAAAAACGTTAACATTTCTGTGATCGCAGAAGACAATGATTTTTTCCCATGACCTTGTGATTTGTCCACAGTTTATTGTGATCGCGGAAGACGATTCCAGTGATCCATTCTCATAGGAGGTGTTTAATATTTTGCCACAATCGCAGTAGGCGATGATAATGTTTCCTCTATCGCAGGATATGTCCTAGATTTGGCTGCGATCGCGGGGGATCACGATAACAATTTTGTGTTCTCCGAAGACGCTGATGATGTTTCCGTTACTGCTGAACGTACTGAGGGTGTTGCCACAATTGTGTGTAACAAATTGTGTCCGTGACCGCAGGGGATAAACAAGATTTTAGCCACGATTGCGATAGACAGTGATGATGTCCAGACTACCAAGGGAACTGATCACAAAATTACTGTGATAATATTATCATCGATAGGCGATGGTACGGTCAGACCGCGAGGAATCAGACTATCTGAAGTCAGATTAGCGGTGTTCTATTCTACTATTTGTTAGTTTAGACTGTCAATTACCGTGTAAGAGTGTCGTCTACTCATCTCCACCCCAATTTTGGCCAAGGCATTCTTGAAGGGTGTCGGAGTCCGAGGGGTGTCGGAGAGAGGCTTGCGTGACCTGGGAGGCGTCTGTGGTTCACTTGAGTCTTCTGACTATACAAACAAACAATCTTAGAAAAAGACAAGAGACATTAGTCAATGATAAATGGTGAATTGACTGGACATTTTTTCACTATTCGTTAAGACAATGATAACCAAGATTTTGGTACATGTTTTTTTTTATTACAAAATACTTAAATTTGTACTTTATCCATTACATTTGCACTTTTAAGTAGAAGTGGTGTATTATTAGTGAGGCTAAAGAATTTAGGATTGGCGCAGCCATTGTCCTGTTCTACCCCTCAGCAATCAGGTAGCCATCCTTGTCTTATTATCTGACAGGTTAATAGATCTAACAGTTTTTTTTATACCACAACTTTAGGCTGCCTTTATTGTGTATTTGTAGGAAATTGTATTCTCTTTAAAAAAAAATACCTCATCCACTTTGGTCTACTCACCATTTAAAAGTTATTTGCATTTGGAAAGCTAAGCAACCTCCAAATTTATAGGTGTTGGATAATTCTGAATTAGATACATTTTTGTTTAACTTTGTACAACGAAATTGCAGTTATACTGGACCAATTTTATGGAAATTTTTATCCATTTAGATTTTAAAATAATTATGAAAGATTTGATTTTTTAGGATTTATGGCAGTAATGGGTTTGCCGGTATGCATCATTTGATCATATAAAACAATGATCGCATATACTATACAGTATATAATGACATAATAGTTACGTAATATGACTCATCAAATAGAGAAAATGGACAAATATTTAAAAATAGAAATGGAAAATGGAGACAAAAATTTGGTCTACTTCATTACCAAATCAGGTCTGGTGATTTCACATAGAAGTAAGGTACACAGGAAACATACTTATGGGACGATTGTGTGTTTTCAGCTTTAGTATGTTGTGCCGAAAATATACTCCTGAGCAGCAAGTACTGTGCGAAAATTCATATCGCACAATGCATGTTCTTCCACCCTGAGGGTTGTAGTACATGATGGTGAAGGGGGATGGTGTTGGACTTTGCCCTAGACACCAGCGACCAGTGCTAGACACCACAAGTGTACCATTGAATGTTTCCTCTGAACGTTACTTCTCTTTGGTGGTTATACATAAGTGTTGCTGTGAGCAAAGGGTTCAAACCTGATATTTGTTGTGTAACGGCTGCGGGTTGGGGGTAACTAAGAGTCCAGGACTGCTAACTTTTATATTGTGTTGAGATTTCAGTGGAGTGGAGGCAAGCGTGGCGTCAAATGACATGTTAGGACTATTTAGAAACTGTAACAGAAGAATGAAAACAGTTAGCTTAAAGTTTTCTGCTTAAGCATAAAACATAACAAGAACCTAGGTTTTGGTTGGATAGCAGGTTTGCCTGAATGGAAAGGAGTTCACTTTGCCACAAAAAATACAAAAACTTTGCACAATAATGAGAATATCTTAATGTCACTGAGCTGTATTTTCAACCAAAGAAGATATAAATTAATTGGGAAGAGGGATTTTAACTCTTAATCTTCCTGCAATAATTAAGATTCTCAGTACTAAAATCCAGTATGTGATCATAAAACGAATGAAAATACTTTAGTTAAGATTAATCAAGAGGATGATATGAATAAGTGAACCAGTTTCATGCATACAACAAGTAATATAATTACCTGTGAGGGACTAAACGGAAGTTGTTTGATCGGCGTACTCTTCTCAGGCGTCTTTTGTCCAGCGAGCAAGAATGAGTTGTCTTCCCCACTCTGAAATTAAACATTAAATTTCAAATTTAGATCTTTATTTCAAAATTGTGGGCCAAAGTTTTGGTGATTCAATTGCACAACTGACCTCTCGGAGGTTTACGTTTGAACTCCATCTAACAAAGGTGATAGCATATGATATGTCATCTTGTCGTGTTTAAAAGGTGGCTTAAAAACTGTCCAGACTTGAAGACCTCCTTGGAGTATAATCCATTCCACAATATTCATTTAATGTTTTTCAACAGGTTAACTACCTCTTTTTAACTTGCATTTGGGCGTTCACATGGACTTCAAGCATGTGCATATAAAGTATCCTCTTTGAAAATTTAGTGGTGGGCATCAGGACACAAACCCACAACATCGCTGCCTCGGATTAGTGGTCTACAACCACTGAAAATAATTTAAAAATTAAATTTGATAACAAAAAAAGCAACCACAATGTTTAAATTTGTTTAAAAGATTAATTGAATGACTAAACGATGGCTCGAAACTTACCGAGTACAAGTCAGGTAAAATGTAATCAGGAGAGAGATCGGTACACTCGGATATGCTACGCCGTCTAGTCCGGTGGCGTCTCAAAATAGGTGGGGGAGAGAGGTTCTTGGTCCCCGTCAACGGTACAATCCCTACCTCTATAGAGGTCATGGGGTAATCACCAGCGTAGCCTGTAACAATCATGGTTTTATTCAATACCGTATAATTACTTCCACAACTGATATCAGTTGGATGTACAGTAGACACTCATAACTCGTCTTGGTTAACTTGGCCACTTCTTGGGAGACAGTATTGAAGCATATTTCCCACAACTTACAGCACTAGTCTCAGAGACTCTACATTCACCAGTTTGCTTACATTTTAACTACTCATAGCTAGTAAAACCTAACCTAAATGTTATGGATATGAATGTTACAGAGATGATTATGAACGAAAACGAGTAAGTGAAGAACCGTGCAGAATGTTGTAGATGAGTATGAAAATGAAGCAGAAAAATCAGATGAGATTTTAAAGAAGATAAAAAGAGCTAAGAGGAGGGGAGGCATAGAACTTCAGACAGCAATAGCCTAGATAGAGGAAAACAGGACCACTCCACAACTGTTGACGTTTTGTTATTTAACAAATTTAGAGACTATGCCTTCAAAAAAACAATGGAGAAGAAAGTTCAGCCACAATTGACTACATTTATCAATTATATGATGTTTATATAATGTTATCAGGGATAAATGATCTTTCTTATGACGGGTTAATTTAGCCAAGAGCTTGGTTTCGAGGCGGCCGGATATGAGAAACTTTACTGTGCATTCATCTTCCATAGTAGTAAAAACTATTGTTAATGAATAGTATGACATAGGGCAAAAGATACTAGTAAGAAGCGTGCCAGCTTTTCTTTAACCTAGTTTTATGACAGTACACACAAATAAATTTTGTTTCAAAATTAAAGCATAAAACTTGTACAAGCTATAAGTTTGATTACAAGTTTTACATAACTTTACATCATCTTTTTTATCTAATAACGAGTGTTTTTAGAAACTATTTTATATAGCTCAGTGTTAGATAAGAAAGGCTGAAAGACAAGGGTGGTTCTAGAATGGTTATCACAGTTACATCTTTTTACTGCAGACCTGGCTTTCCATGCAACTTCAACTTTAATGATATTTCTCTGTCTTTATATAACGGCACAGACCAGCCTGTCCATGGTGATAGGCATTTGAGTTTTATTTTTATTCAAATCTCTTCTTGTTTAGATAATGTTTTAATTTCATTTAGGAGGTAACTGAACTATAGTAGTGATGCCGCTGGATGTAATTTGACAAATAACGTCTTCTAGTTTACACTAGTTACTCAAGTTTAAATTCTAATGAACGTTTTTCACAAGTTTTTACTTACCAGCAAACGGGGAGGTATGCCTCAAAGGCGAGGTAAAGCTAGAATGTTCATTCAGATTCGTCACGTAGTCTGCGACATTTATATCTCCGAAACCTTCATCGGCCGAAGACAGCTTCATTGGACTAGTATTGTTGGATAAACCGGGAAACCTGAAAAACCAATTATATTAAATCAGTTATATATACATAAAATAGCTGTATTATTAACTCCTTGTGTATTTCTACAAGAATCTTAGAGTAACTTGGCGTCGTATCTTCATTGCTTGATGGTGTTGAAAATATACAAAATATTTTGTTAAAATTACACTAGGGCCCCCTTGACATAATGTGCATCAGTAGCAAAGATTGAGAAATGCAGGCTTATTGAGAAAAAATATCATTTCTAAAGACAGAAACATAATATTGTTCATTTTTCTATTATTACTGATATGCTTGATTTAGATACTTAATTTAGATCATTATAACATTAAAATATATAAATTTAACTTGTTGAAGAAAATAGATTATTTTATTTTTAAATATGTATGGTGCTTTTGACGGACAAACTGAAAACAACTACCTACCGCGTCACACCAGATGTGATTTGTGATTAGACTACTAATGATGCCATCTAACAACAGATCGAAGGATACTAACAATCAACACCAGCAGTTAAAACCATTCCCTCACTAAATTTAAAAAGAGATATATAAGTAATTGAAACACAAAATATAAATACTGTACAGAGTGGAAATAAAGTCCTTGGACGGTTAAATATTTATAAAATTAAAAAAGATCGCTGGACAAAAAAACCATTTCAAAACATTATTCAGTGATACGCTACCTCCTCAGCCCGCTAGGAGTAAAAAAAATCTTAAATGTAAGCATACGGTAAGTTGATATGCATATGCATATAAAATAAAAGGTCTTTGTTAGTAAAACACAGTTCCTCAAACCCAAACTCAAATGAACAAACAAGTCAAAAATGGTAGTGGATTCAAAATTTCATGAAATTTGTGATTTTGAATCTTTGAGCGGCTGCTATTTTTGACTCAGTTGTTCATTGTAGCTCAAATTGTCACCATTTAGACTCCAAGCAGGCCATCTCCCTGATGAAGTAGCATATCACTAAATAAGTGTAAAAATTATTTTAATGCCCAGTAACTTTGTGTCAAATTTTATAGCTCTATCTGTATTATTTGTATTTTTTAATGGCCCTCGGACCTTTTTCAGGAACTGTAGGCCTACAGTTATACAGGTTGGTAATAAAGTCCAAAGACAGTTAAATATTTTAAAAATTATGTAGATAGAGCTTCAATACTTGGTACTGTAAAAAAACTTTATTTTAACACATATTCAGTGATCCAATAACTCTTCAGGGGGACGGCCCACAAGGAGTCAGGAGGAAATCTTAAATAGAAGCAGAGGTTGACACTTGACATGTACATCAAATTAAAGGTATTTACTAGCAGAATATACTGCCGCAAATTTGAACTCAAACGGACAACCGAGCCAAGAATGACAGTTGTTCAAAGATTAATTTAATTTGCATTGCTATTATACGCTTACTCCTAGGAATCGGAAGAAAATTCATAACGTAAGCATAGGTCGATATGCACATCAAATTAAAGGTCTTCACTAGTAGATTAAATGCCGTAAATTCAAGCTCAAAAGAACACATGAGTAAAAAATGGCAGCCGTTCAAAGCTACAAAATGGCAGATTCAAAAATTTTTGAACGGCTGACATTTTGCGCTGGATCAACCTTTTGAAGTGCGGTTTGCGGCATTGTATTCTACTAAAAAAATACCTTTCATTTGATGTGCATATTGACCTACTGAAACTCCTAACCAACAGTAAATTTCAACAACAAATTTCCATTTCAGATTTTTGACCGACTTCTTGTGGGCCGTCCCCCTGAAGAGTTATTGGATCACTAAATATGTGTTAAAATAAATTTTTATGCTCTGTAACTTTGTACCAAGTATTGTAGTTCTATCTACATTATTTTTTTAAATATTTAACTGTCTTCGGACTTTATTACCACCCTGTATATTATCTCTCCTAAAACTATGGCAACTTGCTAGATCCAGTACCTAGGTAGATTGTGTACCTACCTAAAACTATTGTAGTTCCTCTGACTAGGGGAGTCTAAAGGCACGGTGGCAGGTCTGGGAGGGGTGTCAAGAGAGAGCTCAAAGTCAGACACTCGGTGATGTAGACCAACTTCCATCTTGGGTGGAGACAGTTCACTCATCGTCTGAAATATGAATTACTTTATAGTTCACAAAACTACAACAAATATTGCTACGGTACTGTACAACTTCCATTGAATCTACACTGGACTACTTAAAATATTTCAAAATTAGTATAGTTGATTATAGAAGAAATGTCTGCTACAATAGACAAATTCTATTCCAACACATTTGGGCCTTCAGTTGTATAAAATTATCAAAAGTGGCTATTACTATTACTGAATACCATCGAAAAAGAACCTTGTCTAAAACAAAAATCTAAAAAGGGCTTTAAAGTACTGTAGAAGTATTGAAACTGTTCTATTGTGATTTATCTAATTTTAGTATTGATGAGAAAGTATGGTGGTACACAAACTTAGCTAAAGATGGAAAAACACAAATGAAACAAAAACGCTGAGGACACTAAGTGGTCCAAATAAGATACAAGAAAATGAAATAAAACGACAACTAGTACAAATAGTAGACAACCACAATAGATGTGTTTGTACAAGATGTTTGCAAATGTTGGGAACAATAATGTGGATGACAAAACAGAAATGCATTCACTTCTATATATTTTTTTTCCATATGTAGTTTCTTGTTTTGACTACATTCTATGTGGTTTCTTTTGTAATTTCAGCTTTGGCTTGGTTTGTGTAATAATTTTATTATCTAGGTATGTTGTCACCTGAAAACGAGGTCATGTTTAAGAGTTGAACAATTTTGCTCACAATTAATTGGTCTGTGGAACATTGTTCTCTGTTAGACTAACATAAATTCTCCAAGTGAAGATACCCAAAACTTTATAAAAAATTTGTTTGGCTGATTACGATTAAAAATACCCATTTGCTCATTTCTGCGAGAACTCTTACAATGTTACAGTAAGATTCACTTTGATCTCACCTGAGAAGACGACAACGGTTGCGCAAACTCTTGCCACTCTTGTTTCACATTGGTTGTCGGAGTGTAGTGATGTATCGGCGTCGTCAGCTGTCTCACAGTGTTGAAGACGTCCAACTTCGACTCGGCTCGCTCCAGCGCTTGCGTCAACAGTTGAGTTTTCCCTTTTAGGTTTGACTTGTTCGATTTGTTCTTCTCATCCCTCGACGACTTTTCCTCCGGATCGTATTTCCTTCGCATCGTCGAGTTCCAGTGATTTTTGATCGCATTGTCAGTCCTGTAAAGTATAATGAATGATTTGAGTAACAGTAAATGAGAATAGTCACTATTTTGCATTTTTTACTACAAAGTTTGATGAATTGGATGAAATGTTTGTTTATGATTCTATGCTTTCAGTTAACTTAGGCTATGTAAATTGTTAGAGTATTGGTGTAAAACAACAAATTTAAATATAATCATTTTACGTGTTTGTGTTAGAATCCTCAAATTTACGTTTTAAGCCAAAAGTTTATTGTCAAAACACTCTGAACAGTATGAAATACCTACTGCATAAGCTATACATTTTCTGAGTTTCGATAAACGAACGCTGTGTAAGTTAACTATTTCAAATTTTTTGCTTAAAATACCTACATTTGTATGGTCGCTATTTCAAAAGTAAAGTAATGGTAAAGCAATAAAACAATGTGGACTCTGAGAACACTTGAATGGCCTAACAAATTTTAGCTTGCTAAACCTACTGTGGATCTGAAGTTTGCTGATACCAGATCACCATTAAACAAAAAAGGTAGTGAGAGAACTTCCCCTTAAACCGCCTAAATTTTGTGAACGGAGTATAGATTAAAGTAGGCCTACACAACCAGGTCTTGGATTGTAAAGGTTAAAAATTGTTAATAGCGTTAAAACACATAAAACCACTCTTATTCAAATGTTTAAGCAGCATTACATCCTGTTCCAGATGATTTTATGTTACCAAACACTTTTTTTAAAACACCTATTTATTATTACACAGCAAATGTGTCATGCCTAGTGGTTAGAATCTCAGCCTTTGGTGCAAAAGGGACAAGTTCAATTCCTAACATATCCACAACAATGAAAGGAGTTCGGACCCCTAAAAAGCATATTTTGCTATTATTTCATTTAAAATGCCATTGTCACACCATCACTAAAAAATAAGTAAGCTAATCTATATATATACTTTTGCCTCTAAAAAAAGTCTTGAAGTCTTATAGGGCAATTTGCGCACGCTTTGTGAGGTATAATTTTCTACTGCTAGATTTCCAACAACGTGTGTACCTGCCAGGCAGTAGCTTGGCTATCTTAGCCCACTGGTTTCCCCATTGCTTGTGAGCATTGTAAATTATCCTATCCTCTTCTTCCGTCCAGGCAGTCTTCTTAATGTTAGGGTTAAGGTGGTTGTGCCATCTCTCTCGACATTGCTTGCCGATCCGACCCTTCAGGTGGCGAGCTATTAACGTCCATTTCTTCGGCCCGTACTTCTCCACCAGCTCCATGACCGTTTCGTCCTCCTGCATAAACAACGTAAACATTAAAATTTGGAAGTTATGTTCTTAAAGCAATCCTGAAAAGATAGCAGACTCTCCCTTTTTAAATCGGGTTTATAAAAACTAATTTTTTATTAAAAATGTTTCCAAAACTCAAAACCCAAAAAAACCGTTGACTACGCATAAGAATGAACACATTATCACAGGCTATAGATATAAAAAGTGTTTATTTTATTAAATTCTTTTTGACTTAAGATATTTATTTGTATCATAAACTCCCTAAAGTTTTCAAATAAAACATGTATACGTTTTGTATTTGAATGAGCATCAAATTAAAAAACTTTAAAGAATAAAAACCTTATCTTTCGTTTCAAAATTCTATGTTACTGAAAATAATATTTCCGTAAAACTAAGTCTCACAACTGAAAATTACTAACAAACAGCGTTCATAAGCAATCAATAATTTTATTAAAATGGAGATAAATTAATTACAAATTTTAAACCTAAACTGTTCAAAATAGAAGAATCAATGTTTTTATGCAATTGGTAGCCTAATATTGGCAATCAGCAATATGCTAAGATTAGCTGGTTAGCTACTGTAATTATAGAGGATGAATCAGACCACCCGTGCACATACTTTTACGGAAGTACATTTTCATCTAGAAACACGAAATAAAATTATTCCCCCTAAATCATAAACGAAGAATCCATTTAAAATACTTGGAACATTAATTGAGCACAGGGTGTCCCAAAAATGAAGGTCACAGGAACGAATCTCAAAATTTCCTTATGTAAACCTATAACATTGTACAACATTGTGCAACATATTTGTTTGTATGTAACATTGTACAGTTTTAGAAAGGTCTTGCTTAACATTTTAGTGAAAACAGAACTCAATTAATCAATTAATTTCAAAATGGTGGCCATTTTTGTATATTTTTCTGTATTTACGAAATACCCTGAATTTCAAAACCGCTAAACATTTTTCCGCTCTGATTGAAAATTCGTAATCCTGGTAAACACAGCTTTACATTGATGTATCACATGAAATAATTTTCAAAATTTTCCATTTTTTACCAAAATTGTTTTTTTTTTCCTAACGTTGGTAGCCGCAAACATGAATTGTTTTACCTAAATCAATTTCAAGTTTTACTACGAATTACTAATACAGTAACTTAAACACGTAAGTAAAACCATTATCACAATAGATTGACGAACTAAAGGAGCTCAGACAAGTTAATTGAGACCACAAATATATAACTATTTGTCCAATATTTTTTTATATACCTTATACAATAAAATTCAGAAAAAATAGATAAACATTCAGGCCTATTCAACTAATTGTTAAACTAATACAGCATACACAAGGGAAGAGATGCTCAAACTATGTGTAAAAAATTATTTGAGAACTCTAGAAAATATATTTAACATGCAAAAAATTCAAAAATTTTTTGTTCAGCCTGTTTCACATGATTTTCACAATCATACACCTCGTTGAAGTGAAGGTGGCACACAACAAACAATAGCCTGGGCACCAGCTTATGAAATAATCAATAGCGGAATAACAGGGACAGATGCTTCCGAGCAGCTGCGTCTGTAGATAATGTACTATTGTGTGATGGTGACTCATCCTGTACACATGTCCAACCCTACATAGAATCAATAGTACATCGCCCACGCTGATAATATTCTCTGTAGTCCAATAGTTTATAACATTCCTTTTTTATGGTAAAAGCATAGACCTGCCAACACAAGTAGACTTCTCATCCCATTGTAAACTTCGAAGTTCGTTTTTCGTGTCTAGTTCATGTCCGGTGACACTGATCGACGAAATTTTGTTTCTATTACTTTAGGGTTAATTTCAAGATTTCTGCTTTACTGTTTGGCTACATAACTAGGGGACGAGTTATTGATTAGATCGTTTTATTTGGTTAAACGAGGTTTGAAATTACCCGAAATAATTAGAAACAAATTGCAAACTAAACAGTACTCTACAGTACACCGGACAGAACTAACAATTAAATTGACTTCAGCTGTTCCATAAGAGAAATCTACTAAGGCAGTATGTTTTTTCCATAGTAAAAAGGTACAGGGAGGGTATTTGAAACGTATTTGTCGCCATTCACTATTAATAGAACAAGACATTCTACTCTATGCAAGTCGTAGCCAGTTTTAGAAAAAATAAATCATTTAAAAAATTTAAATTATGTGGATACTTTTTTTGGATGATTAAAGAAATTGCTTTTAAGAGGTGTGGACATGAATTGTGCTAAAAATCTATGCGTTCAAGTCAACTTCAAGATCCGTTGACACTAATCAAACAAGTTTTGTTTGTATAAATGTGGCTTTGACGAGCTATGGACGTCAAGAGTTGAGCTAAATTGGAATGAAGATCCACGACGCTATAAATAGATCTCACACACGAACCCTACGACCTCTCAGTGACAGAATTTGATGCTTAACTAAAACTGTATTGCAAAAAGTATTTGACGAAAACTGACAGATAAAAAGTCTTCGAAGCCACGATTAAAAGGCGTTTAGCGTGGAATATCAAAACTTCCAGCGAGTCCGCAGGTATACATCATAATTGATTAGGTACTCCCAACAAATTATGAAAACAGTTAAAACATTTTAAAACTTTTCCAACAACGTACAGAAATCATAAAAAAATGTCTATACAGATGATTGTGCGAGTCCCCAAAAGCGTTTACGAAATGAAAGAGCAGCCGGACTCAGTTCACGAAATTCTCAAATTTATTTTTGAAATAATTTTACCGATTTGACGTGGCAAATGTTCCAAATACGTTTTTTTCCGCGTAGGTTACATACCGACCAGAATTTTATTGTAACTACAGTATCAAATTCCGTCTAAGAAACCCTGTAGAAAATCAACAGTTGTAAAAATTCCCTCCAAATTTCTGCAGGATGTGTTTTCGCCGGGTGTACATTGTCGTGTTGACTTTGAGTTGGTTGAAGGTCAAGCTTACGTCATGCTGCGGGGGCTAGACCAGACGTTCAAGCATGCCTTCATGCTCTCGCGGCTATAGCGACCAAGCAACCGCCAAAATTCAAACCCGCCGGAACACTTTCACTTTGGCGGGTCTTCATTCCACTGCCTTGACCTCGATTCTGCATAGCCAACAGCTGATCAGGTCTGAAGTTTACGTAAAGAAATGGATACATACTTCGTTGTTATGTGGAATCTTTTATGAGAAACGTTTATTATTCAACCCGTGGTTCGTATGGACATCTACTTTTGATTTTGTTGTATTTTGTTGTGTAGTACGTTTTCTGTGGTATGATCGAGGTACAAACATATTGAGCCATCGGGTTCGGGTTGCTCGAAAATGTAAGAGTGAAAAAAGTTGTTCACATCTTTTAACCTACTTTAACTATAGAAGCAACATGAGCAAGCTGATAAGCGAATCATTGATTCACTTAATCATCGTTTTTATCAAATTTCCAAGGATAATTAAGATGGATAAAGACCACACAGCCTTTGACATGGTAAACGTACTTTTCCGTAAAAATCATTCCGTTGATCAGGAGAAAGATACCTTTCAATTCTTTGACATTTAAGTGTTTGCCGTTATTTACATAGTCGTGTGAAAGGATCACAAGTACAAAGGAAATCCCAGAGGCTATTCAGCAAAAACCTACAAAACTTAAAAAATTCTGAACATGGCATTGCCTCAACTTCATCCCAACAATTTAACCACCCCTGAGCCTTTCACTAGATACACTGAATTCACGAGATTGAGTAATCATCGATCACGTAAGTAAAAGGAGAGGGACATGGCATTGCCTCAACTTAATTTGACAATCAAACCACCCCAGAATCATTCAGCTGATAAATAATAATTCATAACAAGCTTCAGCCATCCCGCATCATGCAATGTGGTTTGCAGCAATTGACGATACAGTTGTCAAAAGGGAAGATATAGAAGAGGGAAATAGCATTGCCTCAACTTCATTCCAACAATTGAACCACCCCTGAATCCTTCGGCTGATGAAAAACAGAATTTCACAAAAACTTGAGCCATCACCGATCACGCAAAGTATTTCGTAGCAATTGACGATGCAGTTGTCAAAAAGGAAGATATAGATGAGGGAAATAGCATTCCCTCAACTTCATTCCAACAATTAAACCCTGAGTCCTTCACAAGATAAAAATCGAACTCACAAAAGCTTGAGTCATCCCCGATCACGCAATCTAGTTCGTAGCAATGGACGTCGCAAAAGAGAGAGCATAGAGGGGTTAGAGGGGAGAGGGGTTGGGCAAGTGGAGTTTTGAAACATAAATTGCGCAACGAAGGGACAACACAAGGGCAGCCACCCCTGGTCCGCACATTGCTCACCCCTGATAAGTAAACGCCAGGTGCTCGTGCTGATGAAACTTATCAGATGAAGAGAGAGATGTCTTGCATCACAGTCTAGAGGGTCGAAGATGGAAGTGGACTTGGAGATTGCGTGGCGTAACGCAACTACTGAAGTTAAACGCTTTATCCGAAGAACAAATAAGGCCAAGGACTGAAAGGATCGTTTGAGACATTCAAGCGGTAAACGCATTTTATTAGTAATATGGAATTGCCGTCGAAAGCCAGGTAAAATATTTTCATGGGCACTCCCATATTGCTAAGGTATAATCAATCCGTGATCATATTCTAACCAACACAACGGGGAAAGTATGGCATGAAAAATAATCTACTATGTCGTCTAAAATACTAGTCTAGTACAGATCAAACAGATCCAACTCACCCGACTAGAGTACACACAGACGTAATCAACTACAGTTACATGTTTGTCTGTGGTCTAGTTGTCTAGGTCTGGCAGTCTGCCACACACATTGTTGTTCAACCAAATAGAGAAGACGAGTGCTTTGAAGCAGACGATGCGACAAGATGTTTAAAATTACCCTATACTTGAGTAAGACCTATGTCTGTGGGTTTGTAAAATCGATCTAGAAACCGAGACGCTGCGGATACGTAGAAAAGGTTTACACAGTTTTGCTTTAACAGTGTCAATAGTGCCATTAGAGCTAAATTATTTATTTTGTGGACGATTTTGCTTAAGATTTTGCTTTTTGTTGTTTGTGTGTTCGAATACAACGCGTGACTACAAAACACTATCATAGAATTAGGGCTAGGTTTAGTATAAAGCGGTTATCATGCCATTTCTTGAAAAAGGAACTTTCTACAAATCTTTCCCAATTAATTTCGTTCCTGCCTAAAACCAATCACCAATGTTTTTGTAAAAGTCATGTTTACAATTCTCTAAAAAAAATAAAAATCTGAAATGTTTAAGCACATTTATCTACACAATCCTGATCTCGATTACTGAATTACTTCCCCAATTAAAATACTAAATTTATTTGAACAATTCCTTCGAAAAATCGGAGCTACATAACGTCCTTCAACCACAGAATAATAGTTTATTCTGTGCTACTACGCAATCCTGATCATGACGTCAGAATCGCTCCCCCAATTCAACACTGTTACTAAATCACTGATTCTAACACTCCATTAATGTTTTGAATCCTTAGAAAAATCGGAGATGTTAAACATTTTGGATCTTTCCCGCAATCCCGACCATGATGACACAATCACTCTCCCAATTCAACACTGTTACTAAAGCACTGATTCTAACACTCCAGTATTGTTTTTAATCCTTCGAAAAATCGGAGGTGTTAAACATAACATTATGAATCTCTCACGCAATCCTGATCATAATGACATAATCACTCTTCCAATTCAACAAAATTCTAAAAGAACTGATTTTAAATCACCAATAATTTTTGGAATCCTTCGAAAAATCGGAGGTTAAACATTATGAATCTTCCACGCAATCCTGACCACGATGGCATAATTACTTTCCCAGATCAACAAAATCCTAAAAGAACTGATTTTAACACTTCATCAGTTTTTACGAATCCTCGAAAAATCTGACAAGTTCACCAATACGATTACTTTCTTCTACACAATCCTGTTCTTGGTGACCGAATCACTTTCCCCAGTTCAACCCTGTGCCTAAAGCTTTGGCGACAAAGCCAGCGAGGCGAAGCCCGGACAAAGCTTGGCCTTGGCAGCAGGTGAAGTCACACCTGTCTTCTCTTCCTGTCATACCATCACCTGGCTCACACACCTCCACATACCGATGTACGAGTGTGGCATGAAGATAAAGCCAAGAAATCAAGCAGTGATGCAATTATAAGATTTTGCCTAGCTACAGTTACTATGTGAAAAACTTACACCGGATTATTCATTAGTCATTAGACTTGTGGGTGGACATTTCCCTATCCAATTACAGTAATTTAGATGGCACTGGGCCTACAACCCAAATTGAAGTTCAATCTCCTCTCGAACTTAAAAATCTCTCCCTTTGGGGTACAGTCTGGGCCAAAGTTGTTGGGAAACATTACGACCACCGATCTCCTAAATCCGTAGTGATCAAGAAAACTCTTTAGGTCCTCCCACTGTTAGTAGGCCTAAACAATATGCAGTATCTTACAATGGATTCCCCTCAAGGAATGTCTCTTCTCTCGATTCTCTACAAGGAGAACATTGGGCATTTTCAGCTGAAACTCAAAACTGCAGGACTTTGGTCCTCTTGAGACAAAATCTTGAAGATGTCTTCTTCGGCTGACACCCAAAACTCAGTACTAACTAGTAGATGTCTAGGTAGCACACTCACCTCCTTGGTCCAAGGCCCCTTGACCAGGTCCGGATTGACCACTTTGTGCCATCTCTGCTGACATTGCACGTCCGTACGTTCTGGGAAATGCTTGGCGATCATCTCCCAACACTCGCTGTACTCTTCCACCTTCTCCTTGAGCAGACAGTCCTGAAACAGAAGAGCAACCGGGTGGTGAAGGAATGCATCAAGAACTGGGGGAATTGAGTTCAATCAGGTCGAGAAGTGCTCCTTGACCAATAGGCCTACAGATGTCCTAAAACTGCTAATGACGATGTACCACTCAGAGCTTTACTCACACGCATGTTCAAAGGTGAACATCAGTTTGTGAGGCAAAGACGATCAAATATTGGCGAAGTGGCCAAATTAAAGCCAAAATGTGGAATCAGGATCGTAATTTACCTCTCATCAACGATTCTTCGCCTGTGAAAACTTGTTGTTGGTAATTGAGCCAGTGGATCGACACTCCAGTCTAGGTAAATGGCGTTACCTCGTACAATCACAACGTGATCGTCATGTTTAAGTACGTGATGAGCTCTCCGGGATTGTTAACCACGTTTGACAGATCACCAAGCTGCATGATTGTCACTTATTTTGTACACTGGCTTCGGCTTCTTCAACATAATGACACCGTCTGACACTGACGCTGATGATACGATACCATCCAATCGTCAATCCCGTCGTTCCCTCGTCTAATTATAAGAATTTGCCGTAGTGCATATGCATATCGGTACACCACAAGAAATCTCCACCTCTAATTGTTATTTGAGGCCATCTCGTCAACACCTAACCACGAAAGCAAAATTCTACACCACAAAGATCCGAAGAAAACAATTGTAAATAAAAACTAAATACATTTTTGAGCTAAAATCTTGCAAAAGAACCGTAGTTTGAAGCGGAACCCCAAAATGGTACCTGATAAAATACGGGAGGTATTGTATACAGTTTTGAGACTGACTGTAGTTCGGCGAGACAAGAGCACGCAGGGCGCTGAATGCGGGGAGCGCTGAACCATAGATCCGCCGCTATAGAGAGAGACGGAGAAAAGGGAGATAGAGTAATATCACCAGTAATCAACTAATTATGTTTATTGTTCACAGTCGGTCACAAACAACTCTTTTTGTGCATTAAAAAGGCTAATATTTCCGTCGGCGACTCAAACGCTTTCAAACTTTTACGTCTCAATGTAGTTTGGATTACATCAATATCACGGTGATAAGATTCATTTACATGGCGAAAGTATTGTTTTGCGCCCAACTATCAGAAAGGTTCAATAGAGTAGTCTTGAATGTGAACGACAGACATACTGCGCCTTTACTATGCAATAGCTTAATTTACAAACAGTATTCATCTTCACATTGATCTTAATCCACCATTAAGGTTGGGTCTATATTATTTTTACATTTTTATTTTGGATTGGGGTATAAAACTCAATAGCGTACAAACTTTCAAGTTACTAGCACTTGTAAAACCAGTGTCATGCTTATTCTATACCCTTAGCAATATATGAGTGTGCCAGGTAAAGTCCATATTTTAGGGGCATTTCCATATTGCTAACGGTATACATAAAAATAACAGCGGATAAAATTGTTTGGATGGGTTAAAATTAAAATTTTAAATTTCAGAGTTTCCCGGGCGGTTTGTGTCGTGTTTTGTTTTACGTCTACATCTGCAATCAAAAACCCGGGTTAATTGATTACTAACATTTAATTGGATAACCAATTAGTGGAAGGGGAACGTAAGGAATTAGAGCACTTGAAGGGACAATGACGTAATGGTAATGCACTATTGTATCACTTAATTAGCATATTCGCCGGCAGTGTGCTTGACCGAATTTAGATCAAGAGCAGTTTTACCAACAATCTCTTCATAAGAGGGTTTCAAAATAATTAATTCGAAGTGGGTAAGAAAGGAATCGATTTGTAAATATCAATTCGAGGAAAAACATAATTAGTTCGTCTATTATTTTTAATTACGTGCAAAACCGATTGCATTTAATTGTTTGTTTGAGAGTCTTACCTAAATATACTATAAACCACACAATATCAAGGGGATTTGAAAAGTTCATTAACATTATTTACTTATTTCGATACACGATTCAATAATTTACTACAGCTTAAAGTATGCTTCAGTAATCATAACTAAACGTCATTCTCTCTCTGTCCAACATTTGACATTCTCCGACAGTTTCCCTCCAAAACAGGTGTACAAGCTGTAGTTTCCGCGGGACCCAAGAACACACCTTCGACCTACACTCGTCAGACATTCTCTGACATTTTCCCTCCAAAACAGGTGAACCGGCTGAAGTTTTCGCGGGACCCAAGAACACAGCTTCATTAGTCCCTACACACGTCAGACATTCTCTGACATTTTCCCTCCAAAACAGGTGTACCAGCTGAAGTTTTCGCGGGACCAAAGAACACAGCTTCATTAGCCCCTACACACGTCAGATATTCTCTGACATTTTCTCTCCAAAACAGGTGTACCAGCTGAAGTTTTCGCGGGACCCAAGAACACAGCTTCATTAGCCCCTACACACGTCAGACATTCTCTGACATATTCCCTCCAAAACAGGTGTACCAGCTGGAGTTTTCGCGGGACCCAAGAACATAACCTCATTAGCCCCATACAAACGTCACTCCCGAGTTCCCAAGGTCGGACAATTTCAGGTCCGGATCCGGAAGCGGTCCGGATGTTTCTTCGCCCCACAAAGCCGGAGGGTGGGGAGTGGTTGGGATCCCTCACAATCGGAATTAATAATTAAGTGAGCCGAGGGGGGATTCGAACCCTCCGACTTGCGACGGGCGAGGGCCTAAACAATGGGTGTGCCGTAAGACAACACCTATGGGAACCTTGGGGTGGTATCAGTAACAAGGCACTTGGATATGTACTTGTACTTGTGACTATTGCATTTCAATCAACACTCTGTGTAGGAAAGAATAAAAACTTAAACCACCCCGTTGCAGCAAACCTGTCAATGCCCTATGCTTCAGCGTAGGAATATCGAATGTGTATTTCTCAAACTAATTTATTCAATTCTTTGTTTGAGTCAGTTTATAAACATGACGTTTTGTCGAACAGTAAAACTTGCTCGTGGATAAGGATATTTTTATTTTATTTATATACCTGTTTGATAAATGAATCGCTAAATAACACTACAAGTATTTTTAAAAGGTTTTGGCTGGAAGACAGGTTCCAGATAGACGAAGAAATGGTCAATTAATTACAATATCCGTCATATGAAATTACGTTCCATTAACAGTTTTACCTCTAAATTAGTTCTTTCGATAGCTGCCAAAAGATAGATTTTAAGGGTTTAATGCTTTATTTTTACATGAAATGTTTATTTTGAAAATTAAAAAGTAGTTAAGTTAAAGTTATACAAATTTAATATCGTGCCACACACCCCCATTTTAAGAATGGCTTTGATAAAACTAAGCAAATCATCTGACTTAAGCTCTAATGTTTTTAACATTTCCAAAAACGAACCCCACAAACATTGGATTAAAAATCGATTCTTATAACTACGATTACAAACAAGTAAAGGCACCACGAATAGCCCAAACCCTATTCAACTACAGTAAAAATTATCATATGCAAATTCACACATTGTACACAAATACGGTCGAGCTGTTGGCGGAAACAATTAGACACAATTAGTGACAATTAGCAGACGTTGACTCGCAAAGCAGCGTGCCTTGTGCTAATTGGTGTTGTGACATTCTATAGCACGTTATAGTGGGTGACTTTTGACGATTTTAAAACCCCATTAGTCACTACAGACTTATTAATATGTATTAAAATGTAGCGAATCCTGTCCTTAACCCTTGTTGGTATTACTGTTAAAGGAAATAAATATTTTACTAAATACAATACATTAAAATATTGTCCTCTGTATTATAAGTGACACAAAGACTGATTTAAATAATGAATACGAGGGGAACTTATTCAACACCCTGAAAGTAATGTAGGAAACATTATGAATTAAACAATCGGTACAAAATCAAAGGCGCTTCTACTATAGTTATTGCACTGAAGACAAAAAAGATTATTAAGTTGAAACTGTCACTGAATAAAAAAAAAATTAACTTATTTCTAAACGGTAAATCTTAATTTATAGCACTGTGTATGACTAAAGTGGGTTATAACATCGTGTATGGTGTTCAATAACTAATTGGTCATAAATTAAAATTAATATTAAGTTAATAACTAAGACCAATACTTTACAACGGGGTTTGGAACCAAGAATGTTTCACTAAAGATACAACTAGACATTTCATTGGCATGTTAAGCCCTTCTGGCCGCAATGTCCTTGGCCTTGACTCAAACTCAGATAATCAACTATTTGGGGCCGCGACTTTACGTAATTTATGTACTATTTATGTATTATTTATGTACTAAAATATATTTTGATGTGAATTGAACAATGTTAAACTACACTTGAATTGGAAGACTAGCATATTCAAGCATTCCTCAAATAGTGAATTCTTTTAAATTCCAAAGCTTGAAATTGATTGAAGAAATGGTCATTTTGGTAGAAATAGCGTTAAAATGTACTCAACATTTTTGTAAGCATCCAAAAATATATAATCCTAGGATTGTTTGCGAATCATGGATTCTAGACACAAAAATGCCAATAATACAACAGTGCCTCCTTTTTTAGAGGTTGGAGGCCTCTTTTAACCTTGCATTAGCCCGTCCACATAGACTGCAGATCTGTGCGTGGAACCTCACGTATCCAGCAAAGCAAGGGATGAACCGGTACAGTACGAGGGTGAACTGTACTGTTAAAATGTTTGTGGCAGTGACCAGGTCCGAACCCACGACATCACTGCCTTGGGCCCGAAGTCCGTGACGCTACCAACTGAGCCACCGACCAAAAAAAAATGAAAAATGGGTATTTTTGAGGAAAGACATGGAAAATATTTTTACTTCTTAGCGATAAATAACATCTTTTATGTATACATCTCTTTCTTCCTTGGTAGCACACCTCTTTTTCCTTTTCTCTGATAACTGTTGCCGTACGCACATCTTTCCCAACAGTATACTTTTCTCCAACTCAGCCAAGGTTTTCTTTTCATCGCCGGTTTGGAAGGCAAGGCACATTGACATTACAATGATAGCCCTGCTGGCCGCAATGTCCTTGGCCTTGACTCAAACTCAGATAATCAACTATTTGGGGCCGCGACTTTACGTAAGCTACTAGCATAGCCACGGCACTGTGTATAACTAAAGTGGGTTATAACATCGGGTACGGTGTTAAATAACTAATTGGCCATAAATTAATAACTAAACCAATATCTCTACGAAATGCTTTACTATGGGGTTTTGAACCAAGAATGTTTCACTAAAGATACATCTAGACATTTCATTGGCATGTTAAAACCGTAGATTGCTTAATAATAAGTATTAACGTAGTTAAAATGAGCCGCCGGCAGAGAGAGCTGATGTCAAAAACTGAAATTGACTGCGTCAACTTTGCTTGTTCAAAAAGTCCGCGCGATAATCAAAAGTCTTTGTAGCCTCTGGAAAAGCAGATGGATTCATAAGTTTGTTTACAGATTTAAGTATTTTAATTATGTTTATTTTATGCATTGATTACTGATTTATAGATATTTTATTTAGGTCACCTGTCAGATTCCAAAAAGCTGTCAAGAGATTTTACCTTGCAGATGATATTTACACTTGGTTTGTTTACGTCACTCAATAGCTATGTCGTTATGTAGCTCATTCGTACGAAAAGTTAATGTTTTAGAAACTAGAAACTAAATAAGAATGCTTTAAGAGACAATTGATGTTATAAACTGTTTGTTTTATAATCAGTGGAGATACTATATAAGTTTTTCGAGAGTAGAGATCTATGATTATACCCCACTGGACAGCAAAGCAAAGGGGAAAAGCAACGAGTATATTTTCTTTTACTTTTCCCCATACTTACTACAAAAATGGAGAAAGTTTTTTTTTTCAAAATTGTGGAGTTCGAGTTTTGTGTGGAGATGTCCGTTTTGGCTCCCCCTAAACAGAAACAATAGTTTTCGAATAGTATATCAGTGTGTGTAGTGGTGTATAGACTAAAGACAACCACTGGGTTCCGATTTCGATGAAATTTTGTACCCAGGCGACACACAGGCGTTTATATTTCAGTTTTTAGAAATTTTAATTTTTAATGTTGATTTTTCCTGGGGTAACGAGCTGGTCTAGTGGTTAGAGCGCGGACTTCAGTCCCCGAGGTCCCGGGTTCAAATCCAGCCAAGTCACCAATGGATTTTATCTAAGTGATAATGCCGCAACCCCCAGGTCTAGCCTGAAGTAATGTGAAAAACAATCCCAGGCTCGTGCCTAGCGTCCTAGGGAAAAAATAAAAAAATTTGATTTGCCCATAAAATAACGGTAATATCGGATTTTCACAAAATCTGCTAGAACAATTTTGATTAAAATTTTGTATGCGATGGTCCTTTAAAATGTGAACACAACAGTACAACCCCCTTCTGTAACATTACGGTTCGAAAATTGTAGCATCTTTTTGAGGTTTTCACATAAATTACCCTAATTACTCCCACTGCTTGATTAAGGGTTGTTGAAAAGCTGGGAGAAAGTATATGTCAGATTGTTGAAGCCGTATGATTCTTAACGCTATGGAGAATAAGTAAGTTACATACCTCCTCTTTGGTCCAGCGGCCCTTGTGGACCGTCTTGGACCTCGCCTTGGAGTCATCAGCGGCTCCAGATTCATCAGAGTCCTCACTGTCGCTACTCTCGTACCCAGACCTCGACCTGACAAACAAACATCCTGTTAGACAACCACAACAATAGATATCACACTTCTTAAGAACAGACAGAAAATTGAAAAAAAAACTTGATGACGAGGTGTTGTAAAACATTACAATCACGATGACGGACAAAGGGTAGAACCAACCTCCATTAAAATCTTTGACTTGACTCAAAAATAAATTCAGCATGGCTGTCAAAAGCATCAAATACGAGGAGAAAAACTTATAAAATACACAACAACCTAAACAACATGAGGGAAAACTCTGTGTAACCTCCACCACCCACTACCAGTTAAGACAGATAGAACCATAGCCAAAACATTAAAAACTAAGTAAAATATACCCCACCTCTGAAAAACTGCATACCAGACAAATTTCCTTTCCTGATTGGATTTCCACGGAAATATTACCATAAACGTGTTAGAGGTTTATTCCACATGTATAGCATTACAACAAATAATATGAACGTTTCCCTCGACAAAAATTAACATTGTCAGTAGTACCTATCAATTTGAAAGTTACATTGAACAAGCACAAATATTCAATGTCTAATAGATAATAATTTGTCAATGAACGTGCAAAAACAAATATGTCCATTCATACATGTTATTAATAGTAGAAGCTGATAAAATTACAACGGACCTCCACAAATAGTCCATTACAATAATGCTGTCACATTTTAACATCTCACAGCTGATAAGCTGTCAATCAACTTTCGCAATTACATTGTTGACAAACACACTATTATCAGCTGATAAGACCAGAATGCACTTGCAACACGAAACGCAGTGTGAAAACCATCGTTACAAACACTCGAGTTAACACTAGAGCACAGACAGCAGACGGCTAATTACTAAGTAACTTATGTTCCTAATCTTATCACAAAGTTGTTCGATAAACCTTTGACTCGAATACAGACCGACACATACATTGTTGCGGGTCATCTCGTTAGATAAACGGCCTCATTTGTTTTTGTGAATTAAAATGTTTTGTGATAGTGTTGGAAATACAATGTATACATAGACGTGGTAACAAATGTGTTGTTTAACTCACGCCATGGAATCTCTTATAATTTATTAATTTACTTAGATTGTGGTATGCTTTATGGACATATTTGATGCTCAATACGAGTGTAGAATGGCGTGGATGATTTGAGTAGCTCTTAGATCAGTAGTTTCTTGAGCAAGAATAATGAAATCCCAATGATCAAGCATGGCTGGGTTCAGTTTCGGGAAATAAAATAAACAGAATTTAATCAGGATCGAACCGGAGACCTTTTGAGTTTTCGACAAGCTCAGGGCAGTGTACATTTAACTTCGATAGGCATTCGTAAATTATTTCATGATTTTAAGTTGTTACACTTGATCGTGACTGCTGCTAAGTATTCCAACTTATGTGAATCTGACCAAAATGTATCGGATGAATGCACCTTTACGTTGTTAGTCTTCTAGACGAACTAAATAAACTGTAGTGGTTGCGAAGTGATTTGACGAAGAACCCATCGCCGACTAAGCCTCACACTTATTTCAAAATACAGCAATAAAATCAATAATCCTATGATGTGTTTAAACCCGTGTACATACATTGACAATATTTTTGTCTCGAGAAACTTAAATAAAATAAGCTCTTTTCTTTTTTTTATAAATCCATTTCAATGTAACTCTTTTCTGACTTTATTTAAATATACGAAAAAAGCAATACCAATTCACGGACAAATCATAATTTTTAACTATTTAAATTTATCCAAAGTTCATTTACGAAAGTGAAATCCCTCCGGCGCAGACACCGAAGCACACTTGGCAAGGAATTAATTATACATGACGTAACGCGGTGGCCAAGGGGGTAGATTCCCACGGAAGGGAGGATTCCGGTCCAGGGGGTGACGACCCTGACGACCTCGCGAGTAGGATCATGTCCAGGCGAGGGGAGGGAGAGTCAGCGACACGAAGATGGTCAAAGCAGCCTAGAGTACATCGTCTAGCAATTCACGAGTCTCCCATTAATCAGTATACGTTTTGACTACGAATATAACTAGACACTCCATCCTCATGTTAAAGTTTTGGTCAGTTTGAATAAAAATGAACGTCGTTGAAAATAATCTTTTATTGGCGTTTGAAAAACACGTGTATCGTTAGTGATATCGCGTTTAGAAACGAATTCTAAAAACTAAAATTTATTATAATTTAGATAAACATAGGAAAACTACAAGAGAACGTCTTCAGAACAGATGAGATAGAATTCAGTAAGGTTTCCTGAATTTAGTAGAAACATGCTTTGTAATAAACAAAATTGTACGAGAACAAGTCCGAAAACGTAAACCCGTTTTCCAAAAGACGTAGAATATTCTATTGCTCTGCCCAAGATATCATACAACGTAACTTAAAGTGGTCAGCGACTGAGCGACTGGAAAGTGTATCCAGGGAAAGTGTTGCCAAACAGACGTCCTTGAGATTATTATCAGTTAACCTAGTAAGAATCACATGGCCAGTGTCCTTACGGTAGAAAATCCTACCCAATTCCCTATTATAGAATGAGAAATGTATTTTATCCTTTATATGAAGTTGTTCCTTTCTTTAGAAATGTCACAAGTAGGAAAGGCGATTAAAATGCACAATTTTAGACAATGAAGTAAGAATCTCTCAATTCGTTTCCCGCAATTTTATTTAATCCTTCATCGTCTAAAACACCATCCCTTCTCTTTATAATGGCGCAAGTAATATTAAAGGCACATAATATGTAGTGTACAAATTAAGTTAGTATCTCTTGAATAGTTGTCCCGCTTCGAAATTCTACCAGGGCCTCTAATTTCTCACTAGAAATGTATTTTATCTCTCACTATCTAGCAGATCATCCCCTTCTCTTTTAAATATTCCATTAATCCATTTACTATACACACCAACGTGTGTATGTCGATGCAGTCTAGTAAAAATTAAGAGTTGAATAAATGAGATCAAATCATAAAAGACTGAAATCAGCCATCTTAGCAGGGACCATAAAAAAAGCCATCAAGAGCAGCCGATTCCATCAGTTTCAAACATCAAAAAGTTACTTTTTTCAAGGTCAAATCTGAATCTTGAATCTGATTATGTGAGCACTGAATCATAGACTAAGGGAGTATGTTTGATCTATGACTGAATCCATTCAACTATACAAGCATAATATACATAAGAAATGCCCACTTTATCAACACGTTATTCCTAAAATATCTAAGCTGATCCTCAACATTTCTTAGTTTAACATTTCATTCCTAAGCATATACCATTTGCACATGCAACCCCATACCACGAAGGCCCCACTCTACAGTTTGGGTTATTTTATGAGCCTCAACCGAGAATTTCGCTCCAGGCCGGTCCATGTCGAGTTTCATTTGGTCAAGGCCAAATGTGTTGAGAACGCTCACTATTACAAGGCCTCTTGACAATATATAATCGGTCTTGAACACCACCGGATCAAAATGATTGTTGGACTTTACTTCAAGAATTGGAGCGTAATAATTATCTGACGCGTTTTGTTTATAAATTTCTGAGAAATTTTAGTACTTAAATAGTTTACTAATGAAGAAAACAAGGAGATTTTTCCTTTCGAAATGTCTACTACGTTGTCAGCTGTATTCGTTTATAAGCTAAATGTTACGATTCCATCTATCTTGCAAAAGTTTTCTTGGGTTTCTCATGAGGTTTAGGGTTACGTTCAATGCAATATTTTACAATAAAAATTGGATTTAAAATAAATTAAGCACATAAAGAAAACTATAGGCTATCCACAAAATAGTAAAAGATAATTTCCCTCAAACTTCAAAAATAGTTCTCCACTTTGAAAGTAGTTACCCAAAATCGTCACATAAATCAAGCTCTATTCTTGTTCCGGAAATGAGTAATTCAAACAATTTATTTCTTCCGCCTAAAACACGTTGGCTAAACCTTACCAAAAGTCTGAATCCGAAAACAATTCACCTCATCATCGATTGCTAGAATCGTCAGCTGAAATATGTAAGGAAACTTTAATGAACGTCCCTTGGATAAACTTGTCAAAACTATCAGACGAATCAAACTCCACTCTCCGGAAATGGACATTCGACAAATCCATCACCCCCGATTAACATTTCAAAATTCTTACATAATCTCCGGTTCCTATTACAAAAGGGTCCAAGCGAGGGGTGTGGGATCCCCGCACTTCCTGGCCGGGATAGACCGGGACCGGGATAGCCGGGATGGGGACTGTGTAATTAAGGACTCAGGTGAAAGGACCTTCCTTCCCACGGCCAGCACCCTCGGAGGACACAAAGGACTCATTGCCTCCACAATTAGCGCCCCTCTGTAAACAGCCCTATCACTGTCACTGTTCAAGGTCGAATTGCATCTGATTAAAAAATGTTATGGTCTTTTATGAGAATTGCTAGTGTGCATTGTGAATAATGATTGAGAAATTATAAAATTTATCCAGTGTACTGCCATATTACTGTCACAGTTCTATGCAAAATTGGATTACGTTTGGAAAAGTAAAGGCTTACTTTTATCGATGTGCACTGGTATTGATCAAGAAGTCACCAAATTTTAAACCTTTGTCTTGACAATAAGCGATTCTTGGCAAACAGCCCTGTTACTGTTCTCTGTAAAGTCAATTGCATCTGACCGAAAATGTGTACAAATCGTCCAGGGATGCCTAGTTTAGTGCCTTCGCTAAATCTAATAATACATCTAACCGAATGTTGACAAGTTTTTGATCAAACTCTTAAATAATTAAAAAATCAATTTCCCCCTATTCTTGGATCTCCTATTTATCTATAGGAGTACTTAAACTCCTAAAAACATACGAACTTGAAACCTTATAAATATTTACCTACCCCAAATCCTTGATGTTTAGCGATACAGTACCCCTGCTTAGTGAATTTGTAGGGCTGAAAAAATTTCTTTACCTCTAAATCATTTGGATTACTTAAAACGTGATCAAAATTTAATATTTTCAAGGATATTTACCGAGCATTACGAAGATTGCGAGATGTCG